CCACCCGCCCCTGCCAGGAGGGTTTGGTCGACTCTGCCTGCTCAGCAGCCAAAACTCTTGGCAAACCCCAGCCCAGGACTCTCAGCTCCACAGCTGAAGCACGGCTGGCAAGGCAGATGCCACTGAGGGCGAGCTTTCTGCTGATGGCATTTACCATACATGATCAGGCAGCACAGACCAGTTAACCTTTGCCCTCAGCCTCCTCTGTGGTGAGGCCAGCGTTCAGCTGGAGCGAAAACACACAGGCTGAAATACGCGTGAGGCCCAGCCCATGCACCAGGCCTTTCCAAAAGCCCCCAGCCAGCCCCCACAGGCCTCCGGCCCCCGTTCGGCCCCGGGTCTCTGGAGGCCGTGCTCTGACTGGTGGGCATGGCACTGCATCCTGTCTCAACCCATCTCCATCCCCAACATGCCTGCAAATGCATTAGCCAAAAGCGCTTACGAGATGCGTGCCCGCCACATGCATCCGTCAAATGACCAGGATGGGCCAAAGTGACTTCCAAAGTGATACTTCGGAACTTAATCAACAGAAAAGCCTGCTATGACAGAGGAAGGCCAAGTCTGAGGAAGAAACCGTCTTAGGCTGAAATCATTTCAGCTGCGAACTGCATATATACTGTAGAAACTTTCTGAAATCAATTACACTTCCCAATACATTAACATAAAATCTCGAACTTTCCACCCAAATCTAATTTCACTTAATTTTGAGCTAAAACAGCTCCTTTCCGATTCCTCTCTGCTGTGAACATCGCCAGCACCTCGACAGGAAATACATGATACCGGCATTTTTTTAAAGAGTAATTTTGAAGTATACTACACAACTGGATGTTTTTAAATACATTATCATAATATTAACATAATAAGCAATGAAAGAAAATTATCCATTGTTTGCTAACAGTTATGCTAAAGAGATGAGGTGAGTAGAAAATAAGACATGCCTACAATTAAAAAAAAAGATATTTCGGTCTTCATTCAAAACTGTCTCTTACTATTTTCATCACCTTGTATGAATAAATAATAATTAACAAAATTAAACTTAAAATATTCAGAAAACACAAGCAGGCGGTGCCTAAATCGCTGAGTGAATGAATGCATGCAACTGACCAGCCACCCCCCCATCAGGCCCTCCCCACCAGACACTCGCACGCCCCCCCACACGCACACTCACACACACTCACAGCAGAACAGGGAGCCTTAAGTAGCTGACAAAATACTAACAAAGGAACACATGTAAATCCATGGACTGGCCCCTCCCCGCAGGAGCAGGACCTGTGTGTGCAGGGGAGGAGGCAGCGGTTGGCCCCTCGAAGACAAATTGTTTATCCACATACTACATGTTTTCAAGGAATATTTCTTGTTAATCGTGTTTGGAGAGAAGTGGGCCTCTGAAATCTGCTAGCTCGTCCAGCCAGTGTTATCTGCTCTTCTGCAACGGTGATGGCGTCTAGAAGTTCATCGGCCAGCATTTAACGCCAGGAGAAGGTGCCATCTTAGGACCCAGCACTTGGCCTCTCCGCTCCCACTGAGCTACAACTGTGTGTTGAATCTGAAAATCCATTTCTACAGCTTGACAAAATCTGAGGTCTCGGCTTGCCCCCAGCCCAAGTGTTTCCCCTCCCGCGGGTGAGGGTGAAATTCCAGGCCTCTGGACCTCACACCAGAGGCACCACCGTGCCAGCCTCGCGGCCAAGCCCTCGCAGGTATACCCCCCACCCAGGAGCGTGTCCGCTGCGGCCCACGTATTCACCGAGCACGTCGGGATGATGGGGGCCGGCCGGCCAGCCGCCTACTTTGGTATCAAGATTCTACACGCACCTGAAACCACAGATTTTTGACAAACTTTTCATTCCAGGCCTCCCTGCTTCCACTGAGAACCGCCTGCCTCACTCCCAGGAAGTACAACAATTAGGGTCTTCAGAATTCAGAACATAGAAATAAAAAACAGCTGAGTGGCGGGGTTTCTGTCTTGGCTTTATTGCACAGTTCAAAGGCAGGATCACGGAGGTCATTAAGCAGCATTGTCTCTGTGACATGATTAGTCAGGTAGCGGAGACCATTTGTCACCTGCACCAGCAAATTGAGTTAATACTGCACTACAGGCGATGGGGACTGTATAATATCAACGTGATTACATCAAGCGGCCTGCAAACTTGACAGCTCACTGAATTTGTCGGCATTAATCGTTACGCCTGTCACAAATCCATCAGGTTTACAGATAATTAGGGGCCTGTTAATGAAGCTGGCTAAACAACCTTACCTTTTTTGATAATTAAGAAGCCGCTTCATTACGGAGGGACCATTTCCTCTGAGCAGTATTTCTTTATTTTTTCATATAAGGAGGATTCATTTAGATAATTTTCCCTTCCTCTCTCATCACTATGAAGTATAGCTGGTCGACATCTGTCATCCACCAACTTCCTGGCTACCAAACAATCAATTATTCCACACTAAGATTTTCTCAAGAAAAAACTCATCAGTTACGGATGGAACAGAGAGAGAC